TATATATATATATATATATATAAATATATATATATATATATATATATATATATATATGTTTATATTTTATATATTTTGTTTATATTTATTTATACATTTTCCCCATAAGAATTTTCTAATTTTTTCATTAAATCCTTTTTAGTACAAAGAATTAAAGCTGCCGATAAATATGAAACTGAATATGGTTCAGATGATAATAAATAATCATAAATTCTTTAAATTTTTAAAATATCTTTAAATACATGAGCAAACCAAGTAAGAATCCAACTAATAGCGAACATTGGTCCATTTATTTATTCTAGAATATTTCCTAACTAAGGATCTTCATTATTCACTAGTTCTTATATTATTTTTAATTAAATCATTGCACTGTTTTCTAAAGGATATACTAGAGGATCTCTAAAGAATGTATTTGCGGCTTTTTATGTTAATTAAAAACCCATTTGAGTTCCAAACAAAATTAAAAATAAACTAGCCACATCATGATATCCTTAATAATAATTTAATTCTGGTTATTATTACATTAACCCTTCTAAAATTATGAAAAGTTATTTTTATTTTTTTCTCCTTTTTATTTATTTTTTATTATGATTTTTTGTATTTATATTACAATTTATCATATGGCAAATCTTTATAATCATCTAAATATGCAATAGATCTATTTACATCTTTTTATAATTATGAATGGTATTAACTTTTTTTTAATTTGAATCATCTATTTTTTTTTTTTTAATTTTATAAGTATTTATATTTAATTTATATAAACCCATTATTATTTAGCTTTTATTTTCAAATTAATCTTTTTTAATTCCTAATAGTAATTTCCAGGTTTTTTATCGTATTTCTTTTGTGAAAAAACCATATGTTTTTCCAATTTGCATTAATCGCTTATAATTTATACCCTTTTTTATTTTTTAGATATAAATATTTTTTTTTGTTTTATTTTTTTGTTTTAGATTTAGTATTTATTTATTTTTAGAAAAAAACTTTTAACTTCTTATTAGTTCAAAATATCTTGAATTTCTTATTAAATTTTTTATTCTTGGAATTACATATAATATAATTATTTTTTTCCTTTTTTGTATTAATTTTTTATTATATTCTTATTTTTTTGTTATTTATAAAAATAATTAATTTTAATTTAATCAAAAAAAATATAAATGACTTTTATAAATTTTACTATTTGAATTAGTGAAAATAAAAAAATTAAAAATAATAATAAATAATAATAAAATTATATTATTATTGAAATTAAATAAATAAAAAAAAAGTATTTAAATAAAAATTCACATATATTTAAGACTTTCTTAAATAGCTAATTATAACTACTCATCATCGTTTAAATTTTAATTATAATAATTATTATTTTAAAGGTAACCTTTCTATAATTAACTCGATTATCTTAAAGGAATTTACTATTTATTTCCAAGTTAATATTTATTTTCAATTTTTTATTTATTTCCAACTATTTATTTATTTTCGATTTGTTATTTATTTCCTATTTATTATATATATTAATAATAGGATTAAAATCATATTATTTTTTACTAAAAATCGGTTACTTTTATATATTACTTTATTATTATACATTTTTAATGAATATTTATTATTATTTATTTTCTTAATTTTTTTTACAATTAAATATTTTTTTTTAATTTTCAGTATTTCTAATCTATTTATTTTTTTATAAATTTTAATTAATTTTCTACTAATCATTTTATTTATTTTAAACAATAATTTTAAATTTTTAATCTCCTTCTTTTTTATAAGTATATTTCTTAGTTTACATATTATCGTAATATTCTTTAGTAGGTAATTAATCATCTAAAGAATGCATTTTTTTCATATTTATTTATTCATTTAAGTTATTTCTTTTAATTTATTAGCATATTTCAACTACATGTTTATCGAAATCTCTCAAAATTACATATTTATTACAATTTAAGCATTATTTAGTACGACTTCCGCAAGTTATTTCATGTTAAAAAATGTCTTTTAAGATTATATCTACATCACAATATTTACATTATATAGGTCTCATTTCACATTATTTTTAATGATTTTAAGAAGTAATATTTTTTTTGCATTTTAAGCATTGAAATTCAATATGAAATTCGCTTTTGTGGGTTTCTATGTCTTTTTTATCTAAAAATTCTTCACAAAGTTCACATTTTATTATGTTTCGGATACAATAAGCGATATGGAGATCAATTATTTCAATTGAAAATTAACGATTGCAATTTGAACATAATTATTCGGACATTTTTTTTATTATATTATTTATAAAAAGAATAATAATTAGATTAAACTTGTTTTTTTTTATAAATTATTGTATTACGTTTAAATAATATATAAAAAAAAAGTAATTTGTAATTTGTAATTTTAATTAATTTTTTTATTAAATGATGTATATATATATATTTTTTAATATAAATATATTAAAATGTATAATATATATTAATATATATATATATATATATTATTTATTCTATTAAAAAAGCCTAATTTCATTTAATAAATATAAAGCCAAATATAAAAAATCGAATTATATTTTTTATATTTTTCATCAAACAAATAAAAATAAAGCAATAAAATCTTCGTTTTACTAATACTATTTTTTATAAATTTTAAATACTTAATAATTTGAATAAAAAATTTAATATCGTCCTAGCTAAAGAGCCTAGAATATTCAAAAAAATGGACTAATAAGTAAAAGAATTTATTTATAATTTATTAAATATATAAGTTATTATTTTAATAGTGATTTTTTCTCTATCAAATGTCTTTACTATTATTAATATAGAATAGTATACACCCAGATTTTATACTGTTTATGAAAATCTAATAAAATATATATGAATAAAGTCGTAATTATAAAACCATATAATATTTTGAAAAATAGACTTGAATTAATAAAAATAGTTTCAAGATTGAAAAAGAAAAATTTAATAAATTTAATTTCGAAAAAAAAAAGAAGTATTAATCTAAAAAATTATAATTTAAAAAAATGTAGAAATATAAAGGTGTTAATAATTAATTTATGCTTACATAATAAAAAAATTGAAGCAAATAAAATAATTATACAAAATATACAATAATATAAAATATAAAAACATTAAAAAATTAATTTAAGTTGTGATTTAGAAAATTCTAAAGTTTCATAAAATGTATATTAAAAAAAAATAAAAGAATTTATAATTAAATTGTAACAAAATATTTCAAAAAAATATATGAAAAAATAAAATATTTTAATTAAAATAAGTTAAAATTATAAATAATATATAAATATAAAAAAATAAAGATATATATATTAAATTATAAAATATAATATTTTATATAAAATATGTATCATAAAAAAATGATATATAAATATATATATATTTTTTCATATTATATGCAAAATTAATATTTGTCTGCTTATTTTATTAGTTTATATATAAAAAATTATATTTTTTTTATACATAAAATACTTAAAAAATTAAGAAGATTAATAAAGTATAACATATTATTATATATATAAATAAATATATATATATATATATATATATAAATATATATATATATATATATTAATAATTAATATAAATATAAATAAATTTAATTTTATACATATATAAAATTTATTTTATAAATATATGTATTAAAAGTTAGTTTTTATGTAATATATTTTCAATTTTAAAATAATAAAACATTTTAGATTTTCTTAAATAGCAATTTATAATATATATTATTAAAATATATGTATTTTTTTTTTATAGATTATTTTATTTTATTTTTATTTTTTTATTTCTTTTTTAATGTTATATTTTTAATTTTTATTATAGGCTTTTTTAATTTTATTTTAGATATAATATTTAATGAAAGTCAACTTTTTCTTTTAAAATTATTTAATAATATTTATAATACTATATAATTTCAATAATTTAGTTTTTTTTTTTTTTTAATTTTTCTATTTATTTTTTTTATATGAAATGAGTATAAGTATATAAATAATTATAATAAATTATAATTTTATATTATAAATTTGATATTTTTTTATATAAAATATATTATAAAAATTATAAAATTAAATATTATTATTATTAATTAATTTTAATTTAATATAAATAAAAAGCTTTATAATATTTAAAAAAAGTATAAATTACTATATAATATAAAAAAACTCGAACATATATATATTTATTTATATATATATATATATATATATTATTATTTTACTTGTATTTCATTATTAAAGATTCATAATTTGCAAATTTTAAACTATTTTAAAAAAATGATAATATATAAAAAAAAATATATATTTATTTATTACTGTAATTATAAGGAATTTAATTATAAGATTAAATAATTGGGTTTAAACATTATGAATTATTAGGAATTTAGTTATTAGTATTTAAATTAGTTTATATTTAATTGCATTAAGAGTTAATTTATTAGACACTTTAAGGTAATTATTATTTTTCTAAATATGGTTAATAAAAGCAATTACTATTTTTTAAAGTGTCTTATTTTTATAATTATTATATATGATATTACTACTATTATAAATTATAATAAAAAGAATTATATTATTATTATATTTATTATTATTAATTTTATTATTATTATTAATATTAATAATATTATGATTATTATTATGATTATTATATTGATTATTATTATTATTATGTTTATCTTACAAATATTGGACAAGGAAAATTTTAATTATTTTTATCAGTATTATTAGTATTAATATTTTAATTATTTTTAATTTAATTTTCACTATTACTATTATTATGTATTATTTATGAGTATTAGTATTAGTCGAAATTATTAAAAACTTTATTTTTTATTAATTATTATTCATTTGTATTTATTAATTTTCTTTACATTTATTTAATTTTCTCTTATGATCATTTTCATCTGTATAGAGTTCTTTACTTTTTATGTTTTCCTCAATTTTAGTTTTTTTTGATTTTATAGTTTCTTAGTTATGTTTATTTTATTTTTTTAATTTAGAATCATTCTTCTTTTGTATATTTTCTATTAAAATTAAAAAAAAAAAATTTAAATAAACTTTAAAAAAAAAAAAAAAAAAAAAAAAAAATTTACATGTAAAATTTTCACTTCTAAGTAATTTTTCATTATAAAACTTATCATATTATTCCTAAAGTTATTAAATTTCTTAAATATAAGTATAGTTTTTACTATTTAATAAAGTATTTTCATATATAACACTCAAAACAGGATTTTCTGTTATTCCTAAAATATTAATAACCTTTTTTTTATATTATATAAAAACAAAATTTATAATACATATATATATTTATTTATTTTGTTAAAAAAAATTACTTTATTTTTAGTATTTAAATTATTAAACTTTCCAAAATCAATAAATAAGGCAATAATTTATTCTTTTTAAGGTTTTTTGATTATTTAACTTTCATCATTTTTTATTTATTAGCCATATTCTAATAATTAATTAAGAATTTATTTAAAAACATTATCAGAATCATTATTAATTACATTATTATTATAATATAATTAAACACATTTCGAGAATTTATAAGCTAAAAAGAATGGATTTTTAATCTTTTTTTTTTTGAATATATAAAAAATTAATTTAATTTTTTTATACTTTATTTCTTATATTAGCAGCTGTAAAATAATTAATAAATCCTTAAATATCATTTGATATTTCCTCACAAGACTAAAGCTTATCTTCGACTTTAATTTTAGTTAACTTTTTAGTAAATTAACATGGATCAAAAAAATCATAAAATGTTTTGTTTTTTTCACTTTATTTTGAAGATTATTTATCTCTAGCAGACTTTCTTGAATCTACAAATACAGCCGAAGATATTTTTGCCGAAATTATTTTAGGATGAAGATCATGTTCATTTTATATCCCTACAGCTAATACTAAATTAAATTTACTTCCCTTTATTTATATTATTTATTATTTTATTATTATAAAAAATTAATACTTAATTATTATATGATGTAGAAGAAAATTTCAAAGCACTAAAAGTAGCTAATCCATCTTCTAATAAGATTTTTGTTTATCCTAATAATCCTATATCGATTAAATGGAAATTCGATAAATCTTTAGTTTCGGCAGTTACTGCGAATATAAAGGCATATACATTTTTAGGAACATTTAAACTTTCGCCATTTTAATCTTAAAAAATCTTTTTTGTTGTTGTTTTTTTTATGTAAAAATTATAAATTTATTATAAAATAAACAAAAAAATTAATATACATCTAATTAAACACTAATACTAGGTAAAATCCAGCTTTTGTGCCAATTCCATCCATATTCTTAATCTTTAATAAAGCTTTTATCCATCCATATTTTTATCGCACATTTAAGTTAAGTTTGCTTCTTTATATTGTTTAATATATAAATAAAATATTATTATTAATAAAAAAATAAATTGCATATATTATAATAATAATATATTATATAATTATTATAATATATCACTTATGGATCAGTTAAGGACAAAGTTGGCTTGAAACTCCATAATATAGTACTAGTTGGGTTTTATTATTTAATTTAAGAACTACACGGTATCCATTCGAATTCATTATTGTTTTCTTGCATACTTTAATGCTCTTTTTACATGTTTTATCCCTTTATTAAAGAAAGAAATGATAATTTTTTATTTTGTATTTTTTTTTTTTAAAAAATAAAAAAATAAAAAAATTAAAGATTATATTAATATTAATAGTGTATATTTATTTATAATATGTAGTTTTTTGTTTTTTTACCTATTATATAGAGGAAACAACTCTTATTTAATAATTTTTTTTTTAATTAAGGTTTTTTCGTTCTTCTTCATTAATTTTAACTTAAAATTGGTTATTATCAATATTGGATTATTCGATTTATTATTATTATTAGAATTAAATTTATTCCTATAAATTCTCTTCGTTTTTAGTCATCTAAAATGAATTTATTTACTAATATGAGTTTTAATATAAATCTTATTATTATTACATTTTTTTTAATTTATATTATAAATAATTGAAATATTTAAAAAAAATTAAAATATTATTTTCTCTATTTTAAATCGTGACATTTTTGAATGATAATATATATAATAATAATATTAAAAAAAAGAGTATATAATATTACAAAAATTAAAATAATATATTCTGTTTTATTAATTTTATATTATTAATTAAAATTATTATATTTATTATAATATAAAAATAATTATATATTTTTGATTTTTTATATATATTTAATTTATTTACCTAAAAATTAAAAAACAATAATATAAAATATAAAATTATAGTAATATAATATACTATATACTTTTATTATTTTAATAAATGTAAGTACTTAATAGATCAAATTATTTTTTATGTACCTAATTTAAGAAATATAAAAGCAGCTATATGGAAAATAATACAACCTATTAATAAAATAATTAAACTTTCGTTTTAAGTTATAGGATAATCTATTAAAAAATAAAAAAAAATATAAAAATATAAATAAATGATATAAAATTACCATAATTATCAATAATTTTTCTTTATATATCATCGTAAATATAAATATCACCAAATTCAGCATTAGTTGTGGCAACAGTCATATAATAAAAAGGCTTATTAATATATTAAAAAAAAAAGTATGAAAAAAATTAATATAAATTAGAAACATTTTAAATATAAAAAAAAATATTCAATAATATAATATAATAAAATATAATATTAAATTATTTTATACATATTAATACTAAATATTTTTTTTAATAGAAAAATTAAAAAAAAAAAAAATATATTTAATTATTAATATTTATTCGATTATGTAAATAGATATATAAAAAAATATGTATATATATATATATATATATATATATATATATATATATATATATATTTTTTATTTACACTTATATATTATATCCAACTTGTATATTTTGAATTTCTACTTTAATCTGAATAAAAACCTCCAAATAATTAAAAAGGCATTAATAATGTCTTTATATTATAAGAAAATAAAAAATTAACTCATATATTTAATTAAAAAAGATTAATAAATTAAAAATTTTTATTTTTAATATAAATATTTTATTTTAATTTTATTTATTTAAATATATTTTTATTATAACAAATGTATATTTTATATTTTTATCTTTACTGGTAATAAAATTGAAACTATTTAAGGATTTTTAAATGCAGCTCCTCCAGCTAGACCTATTCCATTTCCAATCACACTCATTAGAATAAAAATTAATACTTATAAAAAAGAAAAATATTAAACATAAAAAACAAAAAATAATTTGTATAAAAATAAAAAAAATTTAAACATATAAAAATATAAAAATATAAATATATAAATTTATATAAATTATATAAATATATATATATTTATAAATATATATATAAATATATTTATATATTTTACAAAAAGTATTAAATGCTTTATTTTCAAATCCGACTGCAAAAAACATAATTACAGTTGAAAATATAGGATATATAATCACATAAGGTAATTCAACTAATAATTTTCCTACGAAATATGATGATACTCTATAAAAATTTGAATTTTCCTCTTTTAGAAATACTGACCTTTCTTTAGGGACTTTTTAAAAAGTAAATTTAATTTTAATATATATGCAAATATAAATAAAAAAATATAAACATATATAAAACATATTGAAAATTTTATATATATAAACTTAATTTTAATTAAAAAATACATATTATTGCTATAGTGGAAATAATATTACAAAATGTTTAAACCCCAAAAACATATATACATCCCATAGTTTATTATTACCAAATTTTCTATTCGTTTACACTTTAGTAATCTTTTTAAGCAGCTTTCCAGAAAATAGTACTTATTAATAATGAATTAAAAACTAATTTTTATATAAAGATTTCATATTTTATAATAATAATAATAAATAATAAATTTTATATTGATACTTAATAAAATAGTCTTTATTTTAAATAATTAAGGACACCTAATAAAATTTTAATAAGATCTTTAAGCTATTATACTAGTTTCGTAAAAAAAGGAATTTTTAGATATTTATTTAAAATTTATTTTGTTATAATTTCCTTTGAATTCTACTTCGTTTAATATTTACTATTCGATTTAATTTTAGTAATTTTAATATGTAAAAATGTCTTATTTGATATTCTTTTATTTTTATTTATTAACTAAAAATTCCATAAAAAAGTCGGAAGGATTACAATGTTAAGGATAATGAATTCCCTATTTTTTAATATATGGGACTATGTCTTAAGCCTTTCCTTAATATACAGTTTATCCATTCCTTAAAAGTATAAGTCTGTCTAATGAATTAAATATTTCACTACTAGGCTAATGAATTGTAAATATTATTGTTTTATGATTTTATTGACACATATCATTTAATAATTTTATTAATAAAAATGAGGTAAAACTATCTAAGCCTGATGTAGGTTCTTTAATATAAAAATTATTTATAAAAAAAAAAACATAAAATTATATATATATATATATATATATATATATATATATATATATATATATATATACCATCTAAGATTATTAATTAAGGATCAGTAACAAGTTCTACTCCGATATTTGTTCTTTTCCTTTCTCCTCCACTTATTCCTTTTAATAAAAAACCTCCTATCTATCAAAAACATATAAATATATTATATATTTTTGATTGTTTTATTTATTTACTATATTATTTTAGCAATTTTCTAATTTCAAACATTTTATGATTTATTCTACTTTTTCTTTTATTTACTTTTAGCATAAATTTAATTTTAATCTAGCTGCAAATGTAATCGTTTCTTTTAATTATTTTATATGAATAATACATAAATATTTAATATTTTATGTGTTTATATATTTTTTTTTAAACTAATTATATATTGTTTTTATAGAAAAATATCATAATATTTTTATATTTTTTTATCTATTGAATCAATAAATAATATTTAAAAGTAGATTTTAATTTATATTTTTATTTAAAAAAATATTATATATTTTAATTGAGATTAATAAAATTAAAGATAATATTTTTAAAAAATTATCTTTTAATAAATATATTAAATATAATTTATTAACAATAATATTATCTTGAAATAAAATTAAGATTTATAATTATGTTTAATAATTATTTTATATGATATTAATACATTTTTAAATATACATATAGATTATATTTTATTATATATATAATTTTTTACCTTTTACAGTTAAAGTCTCCATTAATATGTCATCTTAAAGAATAAAAGCAGCAACATTACTAAATTCTTAAGAATTATATTTATATTCATTTATGAATACCTTATTTAAATTATAATATAATTTAAATAATAATTTAGATTTATATCTATATATGTATATTAATATATATATATATTTCTTTTTATAAAATCAGATATATTAAATATATATTATTGTTTATATCTTTATAAGTGAAAATTTATTAAAAAAGTTTATTTATATATTTATTATATATTTATTTCATATGTATTTATATATTTTATTTTTTCTACAAATTTTTATTTAATTTTTATACTTATCCCTAAACATCAATTTTATCATTGCTTTTTTCTAATCTTTTTGTAATTAGGCTTAATAAAGTTGTTTTTCCAGCTCCTTTTTTGATAAGATTTTCATTTTAATTATTTTATTTATTTATTTATTTGAAATAAAATTAAACCTGATGGTCCCATAATAGCTAATGATTGACCTGCTTTAACATATCCTGTACAGTTTTATAATATCATTTAATTATTTTCGATTGCTTATACATTTAAATTTATAAATTTTAAGTCTATAAGCTTATCATTATCTAATAAAGGTTTATTTAAATTATTAATATCATAATTATTTTGGATTTTATTTTTATTCATTTTTTTTTTTTTATAAATTTAAAGAACTTGAAATATTAAATATATTTTTTAAATTATAATATTATAAATAATTATATCCTTTTTATTAAATTTTTATTTATTTTTATTATGTTTTTATTTAATTTTTAAAAATACATTAATTTAAGTTATTGTACAAATTATTATTTTTATTTAATTGATAGAAATAATTGTTTGTTATATATATTTTTTTTTTATATAAATTAATATAATGATTAATTATTCTTTTTTTAGATATTTTTTTATTTTATTTTTCATTAAATTCTATAATTATTCTTAAAATAATATAAGTTATAATAATTCATATTTTTTAAAAATCCAATAAATATAAATTTATATATATAAAAAAATAAAATCAATTTTATTTAAATAATCTAAAAAATATTCTAAAGAAATATATACGCAAAGAATCTAATTCTCATCAAACATTAATTTTCTTTCAACTATTCTTTTTTATATTATTATTGATAACTTATTTATCTCCATTTATCTTTTTATTTTGACTAGATATATTATTATTCTATTAAGCCTTTGTATTGTTATTATTATCATTTTTTTTTAAACTCTTTGCATTATTATTATTATTATCCTTTTTATCTTTATTAATCTTTCCAACAATACTAGAACCATTATTGTTATTATAGGAAGCCTTAATATTTTTATTTTAAGAAGCCTTAATTTTTTTATTTAAAGAACTACCCTTAGTATTTTTTTTTTTTTTTTAAGTTTTAGTAATATTAATATTATTATTAATCTCTATTTTTTTGTATTTTTTAATTTTGCCTATTTTTTTTGCTTAGTCGAGAATTTTTTTGTTTTCTATATAAACGGCTACTAAATCTTCTTTATAATAAAACTTCGTCATAACCGGATTTGGTATTTATATAAATGAGAATATAATCTTTATTTAATTTTCATTTAATTTAGACTCTATTATATCCAATGGGAATGTTTCTTTTTTATCTGTTACTATAATTTTCCAATTATCCCTATTATTTATATCATATATAGGTTCCTTTTTAAATTATTCTAATGACTAAATTTCTAATGGACCACATTTAGACATTAAAGGCTGTATATTTTTAAATAGAAGTTAAAAAATGGTCAATTATGTATATTTAGTAGTTCTTATTTTATAAAAATTGACATTTTCTTTAATTTCTAGTTTTTTTCCTGTTACATGTAAATGCACTTTGATATTTTTTTTCAAGAAAAGGGCATATTCGTCCCAAATTTATCTTTTTTAAATAACAAAAATAGTCTAAACTAGTTCTTAAATTCCCATAAGTGAGATTTCTTTTTTAAACTTTAATTTTTTAGTAACTCCATCAGTTTACAAAGTAATAAATTTCCCATTTTTTTTCTTATTTTAATACTTAAATTTTACACATTCTGGATTATTATTAGTATTTGAAAAAAGAACTGCCTCACATAAAATCTTCAATAAATTATATTTGGTTTCCTTCCTAATATCTGGCTAAAGTACATTAATTTATACATTTAGAGTATTATTTTTATCATTAAAAGTGAATTTGCTCTATAAATCCTTCAATGAAGACTACCTTAGTTTCTATATTTTATTATTATTATTATTTCCACTATTATTTTAGATAGAAGAAGCAGAAGTTGAAGTAGAATTGGCATTATCATTATCTTAAATGAATGAAAAATGTATATGTTTTATATATTTGGCAAATAGAGGCTTTATTTTACATACAGGAGTCTATAGTTTACTTGAATATTAAATATCAGCAGTTTTAGCGTCATTAAAACCATTTATAAAAAGATGAATTAAATTCCACATTTTTCTAGAATATGTTTCTTCTTGGGAATACAAAATATGTATATTTTTAAGATTTTCCTATATTTCATTTTTATAGTTTATTATTTAATTTTCAGTGATTTATTTTTACTAAAAGAAATAAGGGAAACGTATAATAAATTAATCTTCATCTATAAACTCACAAAAAGTCTTATTCAATTATAAAATTTTTTTCTATTTAAGGAATTTATATGAAAAAATTTTATTATTATGATTATTTTTTTCCTAAAAATGCTTTAAATCTTCCCCATGTTATATAGAAAAATAATTATTCATATTATTAATTCGTCTTAAAGCTAAATTATAACATTATTAAAGGTTTCCTTCCATTAAATTTTTATCAAAAATCTATCCTAATCCTCCTTCTATATGAATATTTGGAAATTCATATAATTAATTTAGTATTTATTATGGAGTAAAAACTGCTTATAGAAATTCGTATTCATTTTATACTTTAAAAAAGTAATTTTCGATTTCTCGTTCTTTATGAAGGCTTTTTTTAGCAGTATCAGGTAATTAAAACGATAGACTTAAAGTCACGAAAAGTACTTTGTGCTTATTTTGGCTTTCAGAGTCTTACATGAGCTCTACTTTATATTTACTTGGACCCATTCGGATAAATTAATCCGCCCTATTCTGGAAGAACTCCGAGTTTAATTAAAAAGTGTTCGATACGGAGTTAAAAGTGACATAAATATTCTCAAAACCATATTTTTGGGAATTCATTTGGATTCTTTAGATTACTTTAATAATCTAATCCGGTATTTATTCAATAAAAGTTCTCAATTTAGAACAAGAGGAGGTAATGACCTTCAAAAAACTAGCAAAATCGACCAAAATATCCTTCTTATATAATAAAGATTTATCCTAAAAAGGGAAAAAGAAGATTTTTTCTTACTACATAAGTCTTTCTAATTCCAACTCAACTTCTAGGAATTCATTAAAGATATAAAATTTATTATTATGAAAGCACATATATATATTATAGACTTCGTTTTTTTCTATAGTTGATTTTCTAATAGATTAATTATTTGGGAAATTTTCTCTTAGGTTTTGTCATTTAATAATATTCTTTATATTCGATTTATTTTGGGATAAAAAGAATAGTAAGATTCCCAGTTTTTTCTAGAAAACTATCCAAATATTAATATTTACACTAAATGTCATTTTCTAGGTATTTTTCGCAATATTAAATAGCTTATTTTGTCCTAAATTTGTTATTTTTAAAGTTTTTGCTAGAAACCCTATATTGTATATTAAATTTGGACTACTTTTGTTATAATTCTGTGTATTTTTTATACCATAAAGCATTTTTTGGAAAATTCTTCAATTAAGAAATTAATTTTTCCAAAGATTAGTCTGGATATATTTAAATATTGTCATTTTGGGAAATATTAAAGTTTTAATAAACGAAAGTCTCGAATTCGATTTCGTTTATATTATTTAAGACTATTCGAAGATGTCCACTGGAAAAAAAAGTATATTTATTTTCGTTTCCGAATACTATTTCTAGACTAAGGACATTATGGGATTTTATTATTGGGATAATTTTCTAATAATAGAAATTTAAAGTATGCATTAAAGTGTTTATATCTGGACAATTTTATATATTTAAATTCTATTAAGATTTTATTTAAGAAATAGCGAATTATTAAATCGTTTAGGGATGATATTAGAGAATATTACATATGAATTTCATGTCTATATATTCTTAGTTTTATATTATTATGTGTTTCTCAATTAAAATTTTTGTGTATTTTTAATAATCATATAGCTTTAGTAGAATATGGAATACTTCTTAGATTATTATGCGAGGATATTCTTCAAACTACTATTCTCCTTCTTCTTCTTCTTTTTGTATTTCTAACGGTTTTTCTGATATTTATTGTTCTTATTTATTTAATATTTTTTAATCGACTTTTTCTGTTGATAAAACAGCACTCTACTTGTCTAAATCTTATATAATTTAATCATTCTATTATTTAACTAATAAATCATTATCTTTTATGGACATTGGATTTGATTATAAGAATATTGATTGATTATTTTATTCTTTATAAAGTAGACCTGTTGTCTATATATATTTTTATATAGATTTTCCTTAAATAATATCAATAAGTGCTTATTCAATACCTTAAAATATTTCTTTTTTAATAATTTTTTAAAAAAGCCTTGAATTAAATACTGCCACATTCAACAAATAATCAAAATAAAGATTTTTATTATTAAAAAAGTCATAAACTAAAGGCACAACTTACTATAAATATCCTTCAAAAAGTCTAACATCATATTTTTCAATAAAAATCTTAAAAAACTCTTCCTATTCGAATTTTTCCAAAAAAAACACTTCACTCATATTCATATAATACTAATTGATTTTTTCCCTAATAGAGTTTACTATTTAATCACCTTTTTGACCTAATTCAATTTAAGGGAATCCTCCTCTAAACTTAAGCCAGTAAAGATTTCTTAAAATTAAATTTTTCTTTGAGTTTTTCACAAATGAAATCTCTTCTTTCTTCATTAATTCCGATTTTACAATTAAAAGTATATTCTCGGCATAGAACTCCCTATTTTTCCCAAAGATAAGCTCCGAAAGTGCATTGCAAGTTCTTTTTGCTTCTAATTTATTAACTATCTCTAACAGTTCTCTGAATAACTTTATACTAGAATTAGTTAAATTATCATTTAAACCGCAAATAAGTTTATGAGAATTCCAATTTAAATATAAAAAGTCTGTATTTTATTATTATTTATTCTTAAAAATGCCCATAGAATAACTCAAATGTGCTATATCGTATAATTTCAAAGCCTAAATATATATTTATTCTTCTTCTAAAACACTCTGTATTTTATGCCTGTCGAAAAATTTTGATAGATAAAAGAATACTTTCGACATTCCGTTTTAAATAGCTTTTTTTAATAAATTAGTATTCGAAAAAATCTTGTTCTAAAATCTTTAAATATACTAATTTATATAATTTTCATTAAATTAATGCATAATCATGTTCATCACAATTTTTTTCTCTTCCATAAATTTTTCAATTCTATTTGCGTTATTTATAAATACTTTTTTAAATATTTTTTCCGCATAATCAAAGTTTTTAGACTATATGGCCAAAATAGCTATTTTTTCAGCATCTTCATTATTCATTATATTCAAAAATTATATATTGTCCAAAACTTATTATTATTATTGTTATTATTGTTCGTTTAGTTTATTAGAATATTAATTAGGACTCCTTATATCAGCACTATTAATTAATTATGACTAAGCCATTTATTATTTTGGTTAATATGATAATTATTGTTATTAAGATTACATTTATTATTATTAAGATTATGACAATTAATTATTTACTACGATATCTAATATTATACCTTTAAGTACTAAATAATGTCCTAAAGTCATTTATTAATTCCCTTTTTCGTTTTTCTTTATATTTCCTAAACAGCCTTCATATAGTTCATTAAATCTTTGATTCGGAGATAATTAAATGATTAAATTAAGATCAAAATCTTTATATGATGCGCCTTTATCGATTAAAATTTTAGTAATAAAACTACTTTAATTATTAAATTAAACCAAAAATTCATTATTTAATTATTTAAATGCATATTCATTTGGTATATAATCGCCTCTTTAAAATTTTTCAAAGGCTTCTTAAATAACTTCTTTTCCATAAATTTTAATTATTTAAGTAATTAATGCATTTTTATCAACTAAACTATAAACATTATTTCTTTTTTTTCCCTATTACTTTTATTGTTTTTTTATAGAAAAAATTTCGATTAGAAAATTCACTATTTAGGCCTAGTTTGTGAAAAATTCTTTAGTTAAAACTTTATTTATTATACTTTCGCTTGATTTTTTATACATAAAGTATTATTTATTAGCAAATAGTTCTGTCGCGATTATATTTCGGCTTTCAAAACTCATTTTCTATAAGAAAATTTATTACTTTTTCTACTTTAAAGCATAAAATCAATTTAAGGTTTTTTTCTTAAACATTCTCCTTAAGTAAATCAAACAGATTATCAACAAATTATTCAATTAAAAATATATTTGTAGTTATTTTCTATTTCATAAATAATACTTATTATTATTTATATTTTTTATATTAATATATATTTTATTTCTTCTTATTTAAAAGTAAAAGACTTTCCATTTTTTATTCATATTCTTTCCTTTTTTTTATTTCCTTTTCACTTTTTAAATCTTCGTAAGTTTTATCATTTAAAACATTTCCATTTTTTCTTTAAATTATATTCTATTATTAACTTTATAAACCAATTAATATTCTTACAAATCTTTCAAAAATATTATTTGCAATTTAAATCTATTCTTGTTTTTCTAAAAAGTATATTTTTTATATAGCATCTTAAAATTATTCCTAGTCTAAACATTTCTATATGGAAATATTTTAGTCATCGACCCATCTTTCGTTCATTTTACCTTAATTTTTCCAAGCAGAAATAATTAAATCTTAATAATTTTTTTCTTTTAATTTTTATTGACATAAAAAGTTTATTTTAAACAATTCTTATTTCTAACAAAGTTAAATTATCTTCTTTCCCCATTCGATTTCTTATAAATTGAAACATTCTCCTGTAAAAATGTTTAAATATAAACTAGAAGATACTAATTCAGGCATTTCTATACTAAAATTTATCCAGTTTTATATTAATTCTCTATATTAGCCATATTAATATTCTTAAACTGCCTAACAAATCTATTCGACAGTAATTTTTTGACCTTTTTTATTAGGAAATTATTTCTTCACAGCTTCCATTTTTAACTAATCTAAATATTTAAAAAGGTAAAATCCATGTCTTATTTTTTTCTAAACCTTAATTTTACAAAGAATCCTCCACAAATCCGGCCAATTATTTCCAAAATATAAATCAAAATTATTTTTCAAAAATAATTATGCTTCCTGGTCTTCTTGTAAGCTCAAACTATTAATTTTTTCCAAATAAAACTTTGCCCATTTATATTTCTATGTGAATAATTTCAAAGGGAAAAAAGTTATTTTTTATTAATTAATTTAATCAGGTTCCATATTTTAAAAAGGGAAAAAAATTGGATTTTTATTATTCTTTTTTCCTTATAAATTATATAAAGTCAAAACTTCTTAAAAACTAAAAATTTCTAAATCAAAAAGGGCCTAAATCATTTATTTAGAATATGTAATCTTTAACCTATTCACATCTTTTTTTATAATTTTTAATATTTCATCTAATTTCTAACTTTTCTAAATAAAATTCTTTAAATTAGCAATATTTATTATCTTTTTATCTAATAAATATATAAATATATAAATATATATATATTAAATAATTATTTAAATATATGTATATTATTTTATAATTATATTTATTTTATTTTTATATATTTTATATAATATAATTACCTAAATATTCTTGTTACTATTAATCTTAAAATTCTTAATAGCATAAAAATTATAAAAAATACAAGAAATTATTTAAAGCATTATTATATAAAATATACACTAAGAGAACTTTTTAATTACATTTTTATAAATTTAAAATCTCCCTAATTTTATCTTAATTATTATCTGAACCTCCTATTTCATAATCAATACTGCTAAAATAATTCATAAATCTATGTGAGATTTTGCTTTTTAAATTTTTATCTCCTCCCAATATTTTCTAATTATCTAATTAAAAACCCGGATTTTAATAAATGTTTATAATATCATCTTATTAATTTTTCCTCCTTAAATTCGATTATTCGATTATTATTACATTATTTTTAATAGCGTCCTTATAAAAAGGTACCAATCTTTTATCAATTATACGCTTTATATATATATATTCTATTTTATTTTCTTTTATTAATTTAAATAAAATCTCCTTTTTTTAATTATAAAGTTTTTCATCAAATAAAAATTATTATTTAAATTTTAATCCCAAATAACTATTTTTATTAATATAATTTTATATAATAAATTATTTTATTTCTTCATCATTACTAGAAATATCTATAAAAATAAATAGAAAAAATATAAAAAAAAAAAATATAAAAAATATAAATATATATATAATATATATATATATATATATATATATATATATATTATTACTTATTTAATTTCCTTATTTTTTTTATTTTTATTATTACAATATAGTTTATTTTGTTACAATTTTAATATTTTTTATTTATTCAATATTAAGAAAATATATCAAACTATTTGACTAAAAGTCTAGAATCTAATTTTTATTATTATAAGAGTAATATTTCTTATATTCATTTTCTAAAAATTCTTCTTATTCTTTATCATTTTCCTTTATTTTATTTTCTTTATTTTTTAATATTTATATATTTTAAATTTTTTCTTATTTTTAAATACCTTAATCTTCCTCTTTTAAAAGTTTTATCCACAAACTGTTTTTTTTCCACTAATTATTCACTATATAATCAACTTAAAATACATATTTTTAAAGTTATTTTTTTTCTTATTTATATTAGCATTTTATTAATTTCTCGACATTTTTTTATTAAATATAGATTATTTCTTACAAATCTAATTAACTTAAGATATTACATAAGCAATTTTCATCTTCTATCAATTAAATCATCATACTATTGTATAAACTAGAAAGTTTATATTCTATAAGTTTTGCATATACATATGAATACTTATATAAGCAATTCATTTGATTAACTCTATCAATTAAAAATAATAAGACCTATTTATTTTTCAAACTCAAATTAAAAAGAGACAAAAAAAAACTCCTTTTTATAAATTCTTCGGTATTTTATAAAGGAAACTCAGGTACAATAAGAGTCAAATACTAAAATTTGATTGCCTATTTTAATTTCAGATAATATTATAAAGGGAAAATTCCTTGTTTGCTTTCTTAATTTTTTAATTCATTTATTGTCTGTTTTGGAAGTTTTTCTAAAATTTAGTCAATGTCAGCAATTTTATTTTGAAATAAAAAATGAAGAATATTTTAGTTTGTATCATTTTGGAAGCTCTTGATTATGTTTTTATTACAGTTTTTCATAAAATTAAGTATTTATTAAGTATTTCCTTTCTTAAAAAGTAATAGTCCAGGTGTATTTCCGGAAATATCTTTTTACAAAAACATAAATTTGCATTATTTATATCTTTCTATAAACATATTTAACTAGTTTTTATTATAATAATATATATAAAATTTTATAAAATTGTTTTATTATACATTTTTTTAATTAAGTATTGCATTATGTATTAAATTAAAATATCTAATATCATTACGATTTAATTTTTTGCTTTTTCTTCCTTTAGAAATATCACTATTTCCAAATACTATACATTAGAATTAATTATTTTCGAATTCTGCTGGGATTTCAAATTTATCAAAATATTTAAATTATTTTGCATAATTGTTCAAATGATATTATTTAATTTAATTTTGAATAACAGTATTTAATCCATCGGGTTCATTTTTTAAAACATTTAAAAATTATAAAGAAAATTAACTAGATGCTTCATTGTCATATTAATGAACTATTAAACATATATATATATATAAAATATATATTTATATATATATATATATATATATATATATATTATTAAATATATATATATTAATATATATATATATTATTTATACATTTTCCAATAAAATTATCAAATGAAGTTTTTTTTTGATCAAATGATCTCGTTAATATTTATGAGTTTTTAATATTATTACTATAATCTTCACTGGGTTATGCACATAACGAAACAAAATTCATTCTATTAAAATACTTATTTATTTTATTTACAAAACAAATAAAGAATTTTCTTTCTTTCTAAAACAAATGAGCTATTTATTAATATCCTCTAAAAGTTTCTACAGAAATAAATTTTCTAAATTCAATATCATTTTAAAACTTGTTAGCTAAAAAATATAAATAATAATATATAATATATATTAAAATAAACCTGTTTATTAATAAATAAAATCCAATAAAGCCAAATCTCTAATAATAATAGCTAATGACGTCAAACTTTCCGCATATACATCATCATATTAAAGAAACATTTTTTTAAGAACTTCCTAATTTTTAACTCCTAATTCTTCCAAAACCTCTATAGCTTCTTTACTAATTTAACTAGGTCTTTATTTTTACACAAGTACAATATTATATTTACATTTACTATTTTTAATAAACTCTTTTCCTTTATTATTCACCTATTAATTATAATTATAAGAAACAACATCTTATACATTAAACTCTGACTCTTTCTCTACCAATTATACAACAAATTAGGACATTTATTTCTTATCGATTTTTCCTTCACATTAATTTCCAAAAATTCGACTATAATTACCTACAGAATCCTACATAATGGTACCAGAATGAATATTATAAAAACTTGATATAGAAACTTATATTGGCTATTCTTTTTTTCTTTTTCCTTCCAAAGTAATTTTTATAGATTAATCTTCGAAATATGGATCATTTAAGATTTAATAAAATTTACTCCTTTTCATTTTTAAGTCTATTTCGTTCTTTTTAGTTCTTTTTATAGAACTCCATTATCCACTCAACATCTCTTCAGAAAGCATCAAATCTCCATAAAAACTAGAAGGAATTGCCTATAAAAAGCTAATTATCATAGGTCTTTCTATAGGAATTTTAGAAGAATCCCCAGTATACCAAGAATCATCTTTTAATATTCTTTATCTTTCTAATATAAATAAAAAAATATATTATATACTTTTTTTTATTTATCTAAAAATAAAATAAAATTACTTTATTAAGGGCCTGCTAAATGAAAACATGGACATCCATAAGTATAAGAAATATTATTAAATTATTTATTTCTTTAACGAATATTTTTTAGTTGTTAAACAGATCGTACGTCTTTTACTAATCCTCCATATACATTCATAAAATATTCTTAATTTAATAATTTAGATTACTTTAATAAATTTGATTGTTATTTTAGTTAGAATGATTCTTTTCTAATTGTACTATTTAAGAGAAGAGAAGATTTATTTTATGTCTAATTCATATAAAATGAATTACTAACTAAACTTTACTTTACTAAAGCTAAATCAGGATTTTTAGTACTCATTTTTTTTAAAGTATACTTTTTTTATTTTATTATTTTTTTAATTTTAATAAAATAAAAATTAAATTAAAATATTTAATAAATGGAAGTTTTTTTTTTAATGTTAGAAATAATATAAAAAAATAATTTATTTTATTTATAAATATTTAATATCACTTTTAATATTTATTTGATTAAATTATAAATTTTATTTTATTTAATTAAATTGTAATTAATATATATAAAAATAATAATATAAAAGAAAATAATAGAAATAATATATAATAATAATTTGAAGTAATACAAAAATATATTATTATAATATATATATATATATATATATATATAAATATATATAATTATATATATATCTAAAAAAAAAAAATTTTCCTCAATATCATATTAATTTTTTTTTTTTTTTTTTTTTTTTATTTGAAATAATAATGGTATATATTATTTATTATACATAACTATTTATTTAAATATTTATTCTTACTGAGTATTTACAATATGTTAAATTTATTTTTTTATATTTTTCATACAAAATTATTATAATTATTCTTTTATATTAATATGTTTATTTTAATTTTTGTATAAATAGAATATTATTCTGTTTGTTATATATCAAAATATTCATATTTTTAAAGTTATATCATATATTTTTACCATTTTTATGTTATTATTACAAATTTTTAAATTTAAATTATATTTTAAAATATTTAAATAAAATAAAAAAATGTTAATAATTATAATAATAATATTAAAAATGTTAATGTATTATTTATTATTTAAATCAAATATATAATAATTACTTTTTTTTAATATAATTTTATATATATTTTTATATTTTTTTATATAATTTGAATTTTTAAATTAATTATTAATTTATTTTTTTAATTTAATATTTTTATTTAGAGTAATCTATTTTTTTTAATATATTAATTTTCTCATTTTATATTTTATTTTAAAAAAAAACTTAATTGAAGTCATTAAAGATCTCTACTTTTTTATTGAATTTTTCAAAAATGAATTAAATTTTAAAAATTAATATAAATATACTTAAAATCTAGCTAGCAGTATTAATTTTAATATTTTTTTAAAAAGAAATTAACTTATTTATTCTATTCTTAATAATATTAAAATATTTATATATATCATTAATTGTTTCTAATACATTATTTTTCTAAATATATAATACTATTCATAATTTAATAATTATATAAAAAAATTTAACTTACTAAATTATTTTTTAAGTTCAATTTTTAATTAATGATAATACTTATAATATCTTATAAAATTTTGCTTAAAAATCAAATATTATTTATAATTTAATAATTAAATTATTCTTTTTTTATGTGTATAAAAAAAAAATTATTTAAGAATTTATTAAAAATAACAAGAATATAAAAAAAAATTTAATCTTTAATTTATATATTAGAACTTATAATTATTAATACATCAATTTTTATTTAATTCAACTATATTTTAAATAATATATTGATTAAAAAATATTTATTATATAAAATATTTTCGTATTATTAATTTTAATATATTTATTAAAATAAAAAAACATTAATTAATTTAAATTTTATCTATAAAATATTTTTAACGTTATATAAACAGCTAATTTATTTATTTTTTATGTAATTATTTTTTTGAAAACTTAATCATAAAAAAAAAAAAAAAAAAAAATCTTAATACCGCCTATTTTTATATTATAATTAAGTTTTAAAATAAAATATAATAAAAACACATATATATTCATTTATTTAATTTTCATTATTATTATTTAATTTTAATTTCTTATTATATAATATTACTCTATTAACATAATTACTTTATATCTAAATCAGTTTCATTTTCAAGCCATTTAACTCTTTTACTATCTTCCCAAAGACCTATTTTAATAGATCCATCTGGTAGAATGTATTTACCTTTTCCGTGTTATCTTATATAATATATAAAATAAAAAACTACTATTTAAAATAAAAAAACCTTCCATAAGCCCAAAAGCCTTCATATTTTCTTCCATCAGCCCACGAATAAATACCAAAACCATGTTTTTTATCATATTAATATTCCCCCTCATATTTTCTTCCATCTTTCCAAGTATAAAAGCCTTTTCCATGCATATTATTATTTAGCCAATTTCCCTATATATAAAAAATATAAAAACCTATTTAAATTATATATTTTTTTTTCAAAAAAAAAAATAAAAAACTTCATATTTTCTTCCATCTAACCATGTATAAGAACCATAACCAGATATTCTTAAAAAAATAAAAAAAATAAACAGAAAATGAAATAAAAAATACCTATTATCTTCCCAATTTCCAACATATTTAGAAGAATCACTCCAAATATAAGTACCATTCCCATTTTTTTCCCATCCTTATAATAACCTTCATATTTAGATCCATCAGCCCATATTTCAACTCCATAACCATGTTAAAGATCATCTTTCCATTCACCTTTATATTATTTATTTAAATAATAGATTTTATTTTTTTAAATAAAAACCTTCATAAGTAGCACCATTAACATGTATATAAGTTCCATATCCATTAGCCTTATCATCAAACCATTATCCTTCGAAAATATCGCCATCAACATGCCAAAATTTTCCTTTACCATTAGCTTTATTTTCTTTCCATTCACCTGTAATAAAAAATATAATAAATAAAGATTTTTTTTTTTTTATAATATATAAACCTTCATATCTAGCTCCGTCAGCCCATGTTTGAATTCCAAATCCATCTCTTTGATTATCTATAAATAAAAAATACATAAATTAAAATAAAATTTAAAAACAAAAAATACCTATCCATTCGCCAGAATAAATAGCTCCACTTTTAAACTAATAAGCTTATCGATACTCTCTTTTTAAATTTTAGTTAGTAATTACAGTTAATATTTAACTATCGTTATTATTATATTATTATAATTATATTTATAATTATGATTATTATGATTATTATGATTGTTATAATTATTATGATTATTATGATTGTTATAATTATTATTATTATTATTATTATTATTATTATTATTATTATTACAATTAATTTTCTTATATTTAATAATCTTTCATTTTATTTTCTTAATTATTTATATTTAAAATTTATTTTTTAGCATCTTTATCATTTTCTCCTTTTTCTAATTTTTCATCCTTAATATTTACTTGTTTATTTTCTTCAGTTATTTAAGTAGGTTGAAATGTTATAGTTTCTATATATACATTTTATTAATTTTTTTCATCTTCATATTTATTTTAAGATTATGTATCATTAAATTAATATTTAAAATACAAACTATTATTACTGCTATCTTCGTTTTCATAATTATTTTTTTCATAGTTTTTATTTTTTTATTAAATTATTTATTTTTTACTATTGTTTTAAATTTATTCTTATTATTTTGGATCTTAATATAAAACTGCTGTACCTCCATCATTTTCTATATCTTATTCGGTTTTTATTTCTGCTTGATTATTTGCTTAACAACATGCTGTAGAGCATTCTTGTCCCATTCTTTTTTTTTTTCTTTTTTTTTTAAAAAAAGTAGAAATATATTTTTTGTTAATTAAATAAATAAACAAAAAACAATGTGTTAATTTATTTATATTTATAAATTTTTTAATTCTTATTTTTTATTTTTTTTTTAATTCAGTTAATTATTTTTCGCTTCATTTTTGATATAAAATTTATTTATTTATATTAATAATTAAACTAATAATAATCTTTGGAGCTTTTTAATTTAAAATTTTAAAATTAAGTTTATTATTTTCATTTAATTATATATAAAAAATAAGTAGTACAATCACGAAGTTTTAATTAAATTCCTTTCGTCAAATATTTATTTTAAAAAAATAGGAATTCTTTGTTTACTAACTTTTAGATTTCTAAGATAATAAAAATAAATATATAAAAAGTAATAATAAAAATAAACTTTTCATATTTTATAATAGGACCACAATATTCAATTTTTTAAACAATTTATTTTATATTTTTATGTTTATTCTATAATAATTTATTATAAAAAAAATTCTCATCTTTTAAATATTATTAATTTTATAATTTATCATTTAATTAATTTCTCTTGAATCTTTTAATATACAATTAATTATAATCACTTACTTTTTTTATATTTTGAATGTTGAATTTTGTTTATTTCTATTAAAGATTAAATAATGTATTATCTTTTTTAAAGGTTTTTATATTATAAAATTGTTTCTTTCTTGTATTATATTGTTTTTAATTATTGGATATTAATTTTAATGGATATCGGAAAAATCTATTAATTATTTTTAACATACTTATCTTAATTTACTTTGTAAAGTATTTGCTCTTTTCCTTTCCTATTATATTTTTCTATCATAAAAAGTTAACTTTTCTTAAGATGTAGATAATCTGTTGAATCTCAAATAATTATATAAATCTTCATCCATTAATTTAACCAAAAAAATATATGTTTATATGTTTTTTTTTTATATGTACAAATATAAATTAAATTTTATTTATTAGTCTTTTTTAATATAATTATTAAAAATTTTAATTATAGTTTTTTGCTTTTTACTGATTTTTTTTTAAAAAAGCTCAATTTACAAAAATATATAGAGGAAAAAAAAAAATGAAAAAAATTGCATTTTTTTGATATTCAAATAAATTTTTCTTAAAATATAATATTATAGAAAAAATAGAAAAACTACATTAAAAAGTAAAGTATATATAATTAAAATTTATATATATATATTTTATTGTTTTCATAAATTAAAAATTATATATCGAAATTCTTAAAAAAATCAACATTTTTAAAATTCAAAACGATCTTAAGTTTTTCAAAGAATTTTTTTCTGTTAATTTTAATATAAATCAATTTTTCGTCCCCCCCCCCCTTCGAAATCCTCAAAAAATCGAAAGTTGAAATTATTAATTAACATTTTTAAAACCTCGAAATATTATTACTTCTATTTAGGTTATTTATTTAAAAAAATATTAATCCGAATAACATTAAATCATAATTTAAGAGACACATTAACCAAATTTATTTAAATTTTTATTTTCTTCTTTTAAATTAATTATAATTTCTTATAAATATTTCATTTCATTTACTATTTAAAATTTTATAAATTTAATATGAATAATAATAAAGCTTATTTTATATTTTTGAACTAAAAAATATTCTTATTATTATTATATATTTTTAAAAAAAAATCGATTATTTTGAAAAGTATAATTATTATGTTTAGTTTATTCCATTAAAACTTAATATTTTTTTCGACAAAATTTCTTTATTTAATTTTCTGTTCTTTAAAGCTTATTATATATTTAGAATTCATTTTATATATTAATATATTTTTTCATTTAATTAAAAAAAAATATTTAATTTAATTTAAATATTTAATTTCAATTAAAACTAGCGCATATTTTCTTTATTCCTTCTTTAATTTTAATAATTATATATTTTTTTTTTTCTAAAGCCTATTATAATTATGTATTTGATTTTATAGTTAATCTTTTAATTTATTAATTAGTTTATGTTATTTTATTAATTTTCTTACGAATTTTCGAATGAATATTCATATTATTGATCCCTAATTTAATGTATTATCTATTATTTAGTTATAAATAATTTATTTTGATATATCTCTTAGAGATTTAATTATATTTTAAGTTTAATAATTCGTAAAATATATGCATTATTTTATAAGTTTACTAACTTTTTTTTTGTATCTTTTTCAATTTTTTATACGTAAAAATATAATTTTATATTAAATTTTTATTTTTTTATTTAATTTGTTAAAATAGTCTTATATTTATTTAAATTTAATAATATTATTTTTTGGTAATTTTCATATTTAATTTTATTATTTAAATAAAGATTTATTATATAATAATACAAAAATATAAGAATAAAAAGAATATTTATATAAAAATATCAAATTTAATTTATTTTTTTATAAAAATAAATCATCAAATATAGATTTATATAAACAAAAAAGATATTTATATATTATTCTTTCTTATAATTTTTAATTTTTTAATCTAATAGTTTACAATTAAGTAGAATTTAATCTTTTCAAAATTATTTTATTTTCTAATATACAGTAGTTTATTTATTTTACAAAAAAATATTTACAATAAATATATTAATTTCTTAATCTTTATTTTTTTAAATTAATTTACTATTTTAATATTTTAATATTTGAATTCCAGAAAAATTTAGTTTTATATAAATCTATATTTTATTAGTTTATAAATTAATTCTATTTTTATAATTTTATAATAATTCGAACTAATTTTACTATTATATATTAATTATAATTTAAAATAAAGCTATTATTAATACTAATACTGCTATTAAAATTAAAAAGAGTATTATTTTATTTTGATGTATTATATATACTTTTCTAAAATTGTTATTTCGATTAACTTTTTGTATTTGTTTTAACTCTCTCTGTTTTTTTGTTATCAAAGGATTTAATGTATTTTTCTATTTTTATATATTTCTTTATTTCTCGGATTATATTCTTATTTTAATTATCTAAAATGAAATTAATATATTATTTGTTTAACTATTAAGTATTTTTATTACTAAAATTTCTTTATGTGTTTTATTTAAAATTGCATTATAAGTTCTTCTTCTCTTCATTTATTTTATTCTCCCCCCCCCAATTAAGTTTATGTCCTTTAATTTATTTAATTTAATAATAAATATTTTACATAAAAATAAATTTTTTGTTATTAATTATGTTTTATTTCTCATTTTTGTTATTTTTAACTAAAATATTTTGTATATAATAATAATAAAAATTAAAAAAAAAAAAAATTAATTTAAAAACGTGTAATTATAAAAAAAATGTAAAAAATAAGATTATTTTTAATATGTTATACACTATATCACATTACTTAATCCACCTAACCAATTCAATAAGTAAAGCAAATATCAGTAAACGGTATTTAAATAAAGCCCAAATCATCCGAATAAGATAGTGAGCTTTAATTTTACCAAAACGAGGAAAAAAATGTTAAATTATCCTTAAAATCAAATACAGGAATATTCACTATTTTCTATGCCCAAAATCCCATTTTCGAATAAGACGAAAACATCACATAAATCAAATCAAATTTAAAACTAGACTAACTAATAATAGAAGATTAATTAATATACCGTGATGATTAAAAATAATGGAAATTATACTTATAGGACATAATTAATCCTATAGAAGAATTAAAAGGTTGGACTGATAATTCTTCATATATGTGCGATGGTATATATATGTTAGGAGGTTACAAAAATTTTGCAAAAGGAGAAGTAAAAAAAACATTTAATGATCTTCCTGAACATACTACCGTAAGAATTACAGCCTAATACCATTTTTTAGATTAATGGCTTGGGGAGTCCGGATTTGTTAAAGTTAATTCACATTTATCAGATAGTAGTTTATTAGAATATGTTTGGGTGTAAAAATATGATCTTTCGAAAGTTAATTAGGAAAACTAAAGTAATTTATGTGGAAATTCTTTTCCTGAATATTAAATTGGGATAGTTGTAGAAGCTGTATTTCCACATAATAAAGATTTCCTGACTATAGCTGTTGGGTCTACTTTGGAAACTTAGGATCCATCCGAAGCTTCTTTTGGGTTTTCTAATTTATAAATATATTTGATGTGAAATTTTTTATATTTTTTGATGTTTTATATAAGGATAATTATATTATTATTTTTTTTGAAAAAAAAAAAAAAAAGTAGATTTATTTTTTATAATGACATAATAATAAAAAAAAATATGTATTTTTATTAATTATATAATATTATTTATATATTAAATAAAAAAATAAAAATATTAGTCATTATTAAATCAAATATTTTTATTAAAAAAAAAAGCAATTTTTTTTTTTATAACAAAAAAACAAAAAAATTAATTTTTTTTTTTATAACAAAAAAAATCTTTTTTTTTTTTTTTTTATAACAAAATAATTTTTTTTCTTTTTTTTTTTAAATAAAAATCTAAATTATATTTAAAATTTATAAGTTTATAAATGAAAACATAATCTTTATATTAATAAAGAAATAAAATAATTAAATAAATTTTTATATACCTGAATATAATAAAAAGAAGAAATAAATAATAAAATATTGCTTTCAAAAAATACATAAAAAGATTACACTATATAAATATAAAAGTCATGATCTTTTTAAGAAAATCAAAAAAAGCAAATATCGTTCTATTTAAATATTTCAAAATAATATACTAATGAATATTTGAAAAAAAATAAAAATTTAATGATTTAATGAAAATTTATAAGAATATTAAAATTTATTGAATTTTTTGCTAAAAATATATCTTTTAAAAAAATCTTTTTAAGTAAATATGGCTTTGTGTAATATTAATAGACAAGAATTAGTTTAAAATACATAAAAAAGCCTGAGTTTTTATAAAAATGATTTTCTACAAAGTCAAAAATGAAAATTTAATAAAAAAATAAAATAAAACTAATATTTAAAAAAAAAAAAATTAATATAATTTATATAAGAGAAATAAAAAAATTCATATATAATTTTTTAAATAAAATTATATAATATAGTAAAATTTATTTAAAAAAATAAAGAATATTAAATAAATTTATTTGAAAAACAAAAAAATCATAAAAAATTAGAAAATTTTCTTTAAATATGTTAAAGGAAAAAAATCTAAATTTAATAAATTTAGAAAAAAGAAAAATAATTCTATTTAAAATTAAATGATTAAAAGTTAAAAATCATATTAATTATATGAAACAAAACTATAAAACTTTAAAAATAATCATATTTACGATAAAATTTAAAAGATATTTAATTAAAAAAAACTGAAAAAAAATATATTTTTTAATATTTATATATATATATATATATATATATATATATTATATTTATATTATAAATTTCAAATATTTATAAAACTCTATAATTAGAATTTTCTCATTTATATTACCTCCTCTCTACAATTCTCCTTTTGCAAACAAAATCATAAAAAGCCACAGATTCAATTCTATGGCATAAAATAAGGTAAAATGATTTTAAATATGTTCAAGAAATCCTAATTTTATAAAAAACAATACGAAGATATTTCAAAAGTGATCGTGATAAGTATTTTTAATTAAATTGTAAACTAAATAATCATCAGTATCCATTTTATTTATAAAAATATACTTATAAAAATGCATTTTTACTGACTAAACTTTTGAAAAACTCTATTTTTTTTTCCTTAATAATAACCTATTTGATTTATTTGATAGAACCAAGAGAAAATTATTTTTACAAAAATCCTAAATATAGTCTTTAAATTATATAAAAATTATGATTTTCTCCTTTTCAAATATTTATTTTAAGACTAAAATTTATATGTGTAGTATTTTATTAATCTACATAAACTTGATTTAGTCTATTTCGAAATACAAATTAAAAAATGCCGAAAAAGGTGATTAAACTTTAGAATTTTTTTTCAAAAAAATATTTTTCGAAATTTGTATAAGTGTTGAAAAACTTTTAAAATTCAACAAAAGTCTTTTTTATGAAAAATGTAAATTTTTGAAGAAAAAAAAAACAGAACTTTTGGAGTTCACATAGATACTTTTAAAAGAATTATATATATAGTATATTACCAAAACTAAATAGAGAAAAGGGAACTATATTCTCTTGAAATTTAATAATTCGTCAATCAATTGATTTTCATAATAGCACCTAGAGTCAATTAAAATAAAATTTTTGGATTTTTAGATAACTTTTTTGGCAATAAATGCCTTACTTTTTAAAGAATAATGTAATATAATTAGATGCCATTATAAATGACATATCTTTAACTTTATTAAGATAAAAAAATTATAATAAAAATAAAGGTTTATAACATATATATTTATATAAAAATAGAAAATTCTCATAATTCATCATTAATAATTCTATACTTAAAAAAAAAAAAAAATTAAAAAAAAAATTATTTTTTTTTACTAATTTTAAATTATTTCCTTTATTCCTTAAATAACTCTGGTGCAATACATGATTTTTCCAAAACCGAAATCTCGACAAAAGCTACACCTTATATCCCCCAATCCTCCCCAAACGAATTTTCCACAATCCAATATTCTAATCCCTTATACCAAATTCCCCATCCTATAACTTTAATAGCCTAAAGTCCTTTCATTAATTATGAAGTACTCATTTGTTTAAAAACTCCATCTTTATAACTTAAAAAATCTTAAAAAACCTTCATTATGCAAACTACAGGTCCATTTTTAAAAATTTCTTTTTTAATATTTAAAATTCCATTTAATTGACATTATCCGTTTATTTTGAACCTTTTACATTTCTATACCTAATCACATTACCCTAAACATTCCTTATATATAAACCCTTCTTTTTACCCCATATTAAATATATCACTTACTGCACCTCCTTTACAGTATTTATCTCTTCCACATCCGGTGTATTCTTAATAACTTAAATCTTATTTCTAGAAAGTTTATTTACATTAACGATCTTCGATAGTCGAAAAAGCAGAATATATATAAGCAAAACTACACCTAGAAGTCCTTAGTTGTATCACTTGTTTTACACATTGAGGAAATTCAGTACGGAAATCATAATATTCGGGTATTTTAAGTTATTAGTTTGAAGATTCACATTATTGGATTTCTTATTAGTTTTTATTAAAAAGTTAATTATTAAATAAATACTGGAGAATATCCATTCTTGAGGAAAAAAAATCGGTTATTTAAACTGAAAATGTTACTTCTTCATCTATGTTTTAAAAATGTGATTTTTGTATAAATATTATTAATAATAGATGAATTTTATTCATTTTTTATTTATAAACTTAAATTCTTAAATAACGAAAAAAAAAGATATTTTTTTTTAATTAATTGAAAAAATCAATAGTTTTTATTTCTTTATATATATAATTTAAAGAATAAAAAAAAAAAAGAAATTTTTTAAAAAAAAAAAAAAAAAATTAAAAAAAAAAAAAAAAAAAAAAAAAAAAAACACAAGAAAATATATCTAGATTAAATATATATATATATATAATTATTTTTTTGCTAAAAAAAATTAATATAAAAAATGTTCATAAATACATCATTAATAAGAAAATTAAATACCGCCTTAATATATTGTTAATAAGGTCAAACAAACAAGCAAGGAGAAGAAATGCTCCTAGAATTAAAAGAGACTTAATCTTATCCTAATTTATTATTTAATGCAATATCTAATACCCAAAATACACCAGAAACTCGTTTATTAGCATCTATTTAATATTATTATTGGACAAAAGAATATATAAATTTAGACGAATATATAAAAAGAAACTACTAGGAATAAATATATGAAATAAAATATAATATGATTGATATATATATAAATATATAAGAACCTAAAATATAGAAATATTTAAAAAAATCTATCGTATTATTATTATTATCATAAGTAGAAGAAAAATATGATTTTTTTTAAGATTTTCCTATTTAATAAATTGAAAATAATTCCGAAAAAATCATATCTTTAATTTTAAGTATTTCAAAAAAAGGTCTATTTATGGAAGAAGATTAAATATATGTTTTTTCTCAAAAAATATAAGAAAAATTAATAATTGTTATTTAAGAAAATCTCTTAAAATTAGAAAATATAAAAATAATTAAAAAAATACTCGAAATATTCCAAATAATACATTTTTCTCAAAAAAAAATAGTAAATGTATAAATTACAACTCTTTTAGAATCTTGGATTTGTATTTTTTTATAAATTATGTAATTAAATAATACTTAAAGTATTTAAATTTTACAAATTAAAGGAGAATGTCTAAAATCAATTAATATATATAATAAAAGCGATTATTTAAGGGGTAAATTCTCTATTCTAATTTAAAATTTCGCGTAGGAAATATGGAGTTTTACTATATAATCAATTAAAAATAATAATAATTGCTAAAAAAATTAACTTAAATCTATTTTATCACTAAAAAATTTCAAGAACTTAGTCGAATGGCCTGATTTAGAACCATTTTTTATCTAAAATTTAAATGAAATAATACAATAAGTAATAATTACTAATTTTACTTCAGTTCTTTTTAATGAAATATGGTTTATAGAAGAAAATAAATTCAAAATCTTCAACGAAAATTTTTAAGGCAATAAAAAAAACTCGAAAAAAATTCTTATTTTTGATTTAATTTATGAAATTACAATAAAATTCCAAGAACAAATTTGGAAAGAAATTTAAATATTTACATTAAATCTTTAATAAATAAAAATAAATACAAATAACGCTTTTTAATCTCTACAAGATTAAAATGAAATAATTTTAATTAATATAATAATTTAATTTTTAAAGATATAATAATAAATATAATAAAATACATAATAACATAGAGAATTTATTAAAAAATTTTATTAAAATATTATAATTCCTAATATTTTATAAGTTATTAAATATAAATATATATATATATATATATATATTTATATATATATATATTTATATTTATATATTGTTTATTTATTTTAAATAAAAAGGTAAATAATAATATATAGTTACTATAAGAAAAAATAATTGTTTTAAAATTTATTTATTATATTAAATATATAATTACTTTTAAAGATGTTTTTACAATATAAGAAATTGAATAATTTTTAATTTTTATTTGTTCCTTATTTAATTGTTAATATAAATGTTTGTCTTCTTTTTCTTTTATTTGTTTAAGCAATTTTCTTTAAATTAAACAAGAAGACGTTCTTACTTAGTTATTTTATGAAAAAAGTGAATATTTATTATAATAAGTTTATCTTTATTTATAAAACTCTGAAAATATTAATTTAAATATGATAGAATTTTTAAATATGCTTTTTACTTATTTAGATATAAATAATATTACAAATTATCATAATTTACTTTTCGGAATTTTTGAGAAAATAATTTCTAATATAATCAAAAAAAATAAACATAATAATATAAAAATTTAAATATTTTTATAGTCATTAGATTAAATAATTTATTTTTTAAGCAAAATTAATAATTACAATTATATTAATTAATTTTAAATATAAATAATTCAATAACTAAACTATATTCTGGAAAATTAAGCGCACAAATTATATATAATTCCTTTAAAAATTTACATTTAAATAGTCTAATAATAAGGATATATTTAAGAATAATTAATATATTAGAATCTTTTTTCTTATTTTCTCGATATTTAAAATTGGGAAAATTAACAAAATTAATATAATTATTTTATAGAATTTATTTCTTTATACATATATAAAAATTAAAAGCTATTATTTGATAAATAAGAATACATATTTAAACTATTTTAAGAAGTAAATATATATATTTTATATTATTTTATATTTTTTAATAAAAAAGCTATTTAATATAAAATAATAACATTTTTTCTTTGAATTAATCTATGCATTTATTAATTTATTTGACATTAATTAAATGAAAAATATGTAACTTTTAAATTTTGTAATAGGCATAATTTTAAATAAATACTAAGAACTTTCTAAATAAAAAAACTTTGAAATTTCTTCTAAATGTAAAGGAGGAGCTAAACCAATTTTTATAAAGAAATTTATTGTTTTTTTATGTTATTTAATAATAAAATTTTCTGGATTATAAGTTTTATAAGAATTAGATTTTTTTAGTTAAAATCTATTAATTGAAATTATTCTAAATGAACTTTCCCTTATTTAAAGTATTTCAAACGAAAATGAAAAAAAAATTGTATTTGTTGGAATTTGTGAATTAATATTTAATAACACATAGTTATTTAAATAAAATGAATTTTAATAAATATTAAATGCAATATTTTCTAATATTGAAATTAAAAAAACCTATGGTATAACTTTTGAATACAAAAAAAACTTAAATAATGAAATTTTAGAACATAAATATTTATAAATTCCTTAAATTAAAGATTTAGATATTTTTCTTCTTTAATAAATATAATCTTTCTGTTTAAAAATTTAAGATAAATAGTAGAACTTTGATATTTTGTAAATTATAAACAAACAAAACTAAGTAAATTATATATTAATATTGATATTATTTAAAAACTAAATATATAGGTAACTATGAATAAAATAATATAAAAATACTAAAATTAAGAATTAAAATGATAATAAGAATATTTATAAACTTTTATTTTATTTACTTATTTTATAAAAATATATAATTAAAAATAAAATATTCGACATTATTAAAAAAAATTATAAATCTATCTCTCTTAAATATAAAATAATCTATTAAATAAAAATAAAATTAAAGTAAATTATAATATAAATAAAAATAATCTTATTTTAATCTGTAAACACGTTTTTATTTATAAAAATATCACTTATTTTAAAATAAAAAAATAAATATCTATTTATAAAAATTAAATTTATAAATAAATAATAAAATAATAATTTATTTTTAATAAAAAAAAAAAAAAAAAAATCAACAATGAAGCTATATAAACAAGTATAAATATAACCATAAATAATTAAAATTATATAAAAAATATAGTCATCATCTTAAGTTGGTGAATAATAAGTGTAATAAAGTATATTAGCAAATCATGAAGGAATGATTGTAAGCAAAAAATAAAAATAAAATAAATAAATAAAAAAAAGCACGACATTTAATATGATTATTATGGAAAATAATTAGCTACATGTTCTGCCGATGGATTTATTCATATATTTGACATATAAAATATAAAAGATAATAATAAAAAAGTAGTTGGCAATTAAAAAATGTAATTAAAAAAATAAATAAAAAAATATGTTAAATTAAATCATATAAAAGACATTAAGGACCTATTTGGAAAATAAATTGGGCTCACCCTCATTTTGGCAATATATTAGCATCATGTTCATATGATAAGAGCGTATATTATATAATCAAAATAATAAAAGTAAATAAATAAAAAAAGGTTGCAATCCATAAAGAAAGATAAACATAGAATTAACCAAAAGTATGGGAAACAGTATGGAAAAGAGAATATGAAGGGTCAATAAATTATTTATAATTCTCACCTTATGAATGCGGTTTTAACTTAGCTTGTGGATCATCAGGTATATAATATTTATTTTAATTTAATTTACAAAAACATAAATATAAACATAAATAAAATTTTTAAATAAATTACTTTTTTTTTTTTTTTCTTATTAAACAGTATTTTTTAAATAAAATTAGCTGGAAAAGTATACATAATAACATTAAGACAATAAGATGGATAATTATAAGATTTTTAGTTTTAAGCTCATGAAGTAGGTATAAATTGTTTATGTTGGGAACCTTATAAACCTGATGAAAATTTAACAGTAAATTATAAATATATATATATATATATATATATATATATATATATATATATATATATATATATACATATATATATTGTTATTAATTAATAAAGTTTGATTTAGTAGAAAGATAAATTAATAATTTAACAAAATTAATAACCGGAAGTGTCGATAAAAGTTTAAAAATTTGGAGTTTACATATATAAAACGGATAATTATAATAAAATTTAATTTACGAAATTAAAGGAATACATGGGGATTGGATTAGAGATATTGCCTGGTCTCCTGATTCTTCTAATTAATATGATATAATAGCTAGTTGTTCAGAAGTATATAACATTTTCATTTTTACTGTATTAATATTTAAAATTAAAAAATATAAGGATTCTATTGTCATTATTTCTAAACTTTAATGGGATTAAAATAATAGATAATATGTTAATATTGAAAATAGAATTATTGATTTTGTGAAATTCGATGGGCCAACATGGAGATTAAATTGGAATTTTGATGGTAGTATGCTATCTATATCTACTGCTATTTAAAATAATAATAATTAATTAGTTGTTATTTAGGTAAATTTATATATATTATTGGACTTATTTTATTTATATATTTAATTATTTATTTATTTTATTTTATTAGTAAGTAGAAGATGATGATTGGGTTTAAGTATTTGGAGAAAATGAATTAGAGAATAATTGATTTATATATATAAATTATTATTATTATTTTAAAATAAAATAATTAAAAAAAAAAAATATTTATTTTTATCAAAAAATTAAAATATGAATTTTTTTTTTTTTATTATTTTTAAAAAAAAATATATAAATAAAAATTTGATAAAAACTTTTTTTTGTTAATAAAATTTTTTTTAAATAAAAATTAAAATAAGTAAAGTATGAAATATATTTTTAAAATATAAAAAATATAATTATATATATTTATAATAATTCTTTTGAATATATTAAATTAAATACTACAAAAAATATATCTATATTGGATATTTTTTATTTATTTTTCTGATTTTTTATAAAAGAAAATTAATAAAATAATAAAATATATAAAGAAAATAATGAATTTTTTCGTATATTTTTAAGAGATCGTGATTTTGTTATATATATAAATATATATAAATATGTATAAATATTATATAAATATATATATAATTTATAAATATATATTACTTTAATTAATATTCTTTTTATTATTGAATTTTTTTAAAAACAAAATGATAAAAAAAAGACTCTAGAATAAAACAAATTATTTATTTAATTTAATTATATAATAAAAATACAAAAAAATAAATAAAACAAACTGAATAGGTAATATATATGTAAATATATATATTTATATAAATATATTTATATATATATATATATATTTATATATTTGCATATATAAATAATATATAAAATACGAATGCATATTATTTTTATATTATTTTTAAATAAAAAATCATTAAATATTATCAAATGAAAATGAAGAATAAGAAAATCCATTTTCGCTGTAATTTTAAACATAGAGAGTATTCGAATATATCAGATTTCTTATAATTTTATCTTCCTTTTTTATTTCAGCATTAAATCCATCTATATTATCAACAACAAATGTATTTTAATTGAATAAAAAGCTTATTTTTTTGCACAAAAGGTAATCTTTTATTTTTTTTTTTCTCAAAAATGCAAAAACTTCATTTTCTTTTTAACCTGGCAAAAATACGATTTCCATAAATCTATCAAAAGCTTAAAAATTATCAAAAGTGATCCAAATGTTATTATTTTTATCGAAAATCTATACAATATAGCATTCAAAAGATTCTTCATTTTCTTTATTTTCCTTCCATATTTTTCCAAAATAGTAAATATAATTTCCTTACTAAAAAATTTAAACAGAATCGCTTTCCAAATAAGTACAAGAAGGCATCTCAACTCCTTTTTTATCTTTTAAATTGATTTTTTCGCAAACTTAAAGTTTTCCAAAAAGCGGGTTTTTGTTAATTTAATGCCCATTAATTAAATAAATGAACTCATCATCACACACAATATATCTATTAATATAATCTTTATATATAAACTGTAAATTTTCCAAAACCTAAAATTAGAATTTGCTTACGTTTTTAGCCGAAACCCTCAACTTAAAAATAAAGATTTTCAAAAAAAATTATTAAAAAAAATCATCTTATTAAACTAAAGAAATTTCCTTAAATTCCTCTTCTGATATACTTTTATAAAAATACTAAAACTGGCAATCTGCATTTATTTTCCAATATAAAAAAGGTAATTTATTTGTTAATATTATTTAATTAAAATCTTCATCTAAAAATGTCATATGGATGCTTTTTCCTTTGTTTATTAATTATATGCATTGTTAATTTTATTAGTTATTATTATTATTCTATTGAAGTTCAATTATGTTTATTAGTTTTGTAGTTTATTAGGTTATTAGTTTATATAAAGGAAAAGCTAATCCTTCTTCTTTTATTATTTTATGCATTGTATTAAATTAAGTGTATTCTTTTGTATATTGGTAGTTTTATTTTCTATTTATTTCTTAAGTTTATTATTATTAGAATTAATAATCTTATTATTATTACTATTTTATTAGTTACCATTATTAAAATTATTATATTTAAGAAGGTTCTTATTACTATTATTATATTTATTATTCTTAAATTTATGATTATTATTATTATATTTATGATTGTTATGAGATTTACATTTATGACTATTATTATAATTGTATTTATGATTACTATTTTTTAATATTTGTATCTAATTTACTCTAAGAACTTTAGAAATTGGCTATTTAAGTTAAAAAAAAAGTATTAGAATTCCTAAAATCCGCCAATTTTAATGATTATTATTGCTCGTCTTCTAAAAGTATTCTATATTTTAAATTTTCGAACGTACAATTTTTTTTTTCTTCAATATTTTATTTTTTCTATCCAAAAAACTCTATTGGATTAACTTAAATAACCAATAATTTTTCCAAAATCTATTCAATTCCTGCATTTTGCTTCCCTTATAAAGCAATATTAAAAAATCCACTCTATTCATTTAAAAGAACATTAACATTTTAGGAAAAAAAATGCACTTTAATATTATTCAAAAGAAAAATTTTCTAAAGGCATTTTTTTTAGGCCTAATCATTCTCCATTTATAAAATCTTCTCAATATCTTTTACCTAAATCTCGAAAATATCCACAATCTTAAAACTTTTCAAACAGAATTTTTACAAAAAAACACTTTTACTTGAGCCTTTTACATATTATCTAGAATATTCACCGCCTAATAAATACACAAAGTAGTCTTCTTTTGAAATTTATAAAATACATGATCCAAATAAAGGCCTATATATTTTAGAATTTCCCTAATCTTTAGAATATACATTAACTGGTTTAGATAAAAGAATATCAGAAAAATCCTAATTTAAAATACTTATTTATTCGATAATATTATATATAAATCCGTTAGTCGAAATCCCACCAAAAATATAGATTTTTTCGTTTTCTGTAAAAAAAGATATAGAAGAGCACCCTGTTCTTGGAATAGTGGGTATTTTTATACTTTTAATAAAAAAAGACTGATTATTCTTCTAATAAAAGGAAAATCTAGATACAACAAAAATTAAATCAGAAAAAGAAGAAGTTTAGTCTTTTTCAAGTAAAACTTCTCCATAAATTTTAAACAAAAATTTTTCCGAAAAACATAATGAACTATTAAAAAATTAGTTTTTTTTGAAAAAAATCTCATCTTCTTATTTCTCGAATTACATTTGAATACACTAGAATAAATTATCGTTTTTTTAAACCAAAATAAAGTTCTCGAAAGACTATTTTCTCCTTACATTGAAAAAATAAATTATAATCTTTTATTTATCCATAGTATAATCTACTATATATTAACTTTTCTCAGTATAATAAAACATTATTTAAGAATTCTCAATATTTAAAAAAACCTTTCTGTTCTTTCTTATATCGAAAATCCAATTATATAAAAGGGCTTATGTATATCTTTTAAGCATTATTTTTTTTTATAATTCTTCGTCTACTTTACTATCTTCTTTATTTTCTTCTTCTAATGGAATATCATCAATCATATTATTTTAAAAACAAATACTCTTTACAGAATTATGACGTTCATTATTAACTAAATTTATAAAATTATGGATACTTCTTGCTTATTTAATATGAAGAAAATGCTTGAAAATTTAATTATTTTTGCATAACTATTATTCGATTTTCTCAATAAAACTAAAGTTTTAAATATTATTAATTTTAATCGATTTTTTTAATTTCTTTAAATAATTTATAACCTCTTATAGACCAAATATAACGGCATAAAAATCCTCCTAAATTTTTTTATATAAGCTTTCTTGTGAAAAAGTATCACCCTAAATTTCAATATTACGACAGGGAACAACATAAATAAAATGATGATTACATATTTAAGCTAAATTTTAGCAAAAAAAACCTAAAATATCTGCCTTTATTTCATTTAAACTTAAAGAAAAATCATAAGAAAAAATAATTAATTAAGGTTTCAAAAAACGCATTATTTTACAAATATTTTAAAATAAAAATAAATAATCATTCATACTATTGCCTTATTCAATATCTATTTCTATTAAATTTTTATTTGTATATTATTGTTATTATTATTATTATTATTATTATTATTTTTTTACATTTATTCTTATATAATGAGTATTTTCATTAATTTAAAAATCTTCTTCGTAATTTTATGTCGTTTTTATTTCAATTAAAGCTATTTTAGGATAATCTTAATTTTAAGACTTTAATTAATATTAATTATTAAAATAATTTATTGATAAATTAATAATATTCATATTTTAATTTATATTTTCTAATATTATCAAAGAATTTTGTATTAATGAATCTGTTGAATTATCTATTATTTCATTTAATGCTTATATTTATTTTATAATATGAGGCTAAGTATATTTATATAATTTAGGATATGTTTATTATATATATTTTATTAGTTAATCTGACACTTTTTATTAAGAAAAATAATTTCTGATTAATTTTATTTACTAATATTAACTATTTTATTAAAGTTTTTAATTATTTTTTTTATTTTTTTATATTACTTAGGAAAATAATCATAAATTTAATTTATTTGTTATAATAAAAATTGTTTTAAGTTTAATGTTATTTATTTTTATTAAGATGTATGTTCTAAATATATTTAAAGTTAAGGCTTTTCTTTATATATACTATATTTAGTTATGTTTCTGTTATTAATCATGACATGATTTTATAATATCTTATCTTTTTTGTTTATTGAATATATCTAATTATTATTATTAATGTTATATTCGGATTTAACTCATATTTTTAATTTATATAATATCTTAATATTTAATTAAATTTTATTTAAGATATAGTATTATTTATAAAAAATGTATTATATTAATAATAAATAAAAAAAAATTATATATTTAAAAAAAATAATAAATTAAATTCAAAAATAAATCAATATAATATTTTTAAATATAAATAATGAATAAAATAATTTTTTATAAATATAATATTAAATAAAGACTTATA